TTTCGCTATATGTGACGTGACAATTTTATACAATAGCGGTTGTTGGCTAAATTAGTAGTACTCGTACTCCTATTAACCTTGCGCTTGACTCTTTCAGAAGTCCTACAATGATGGTACTATATGCTTCTGTCACTCTGATACGGAATGAACTATTGCACGTCTACCATGTGTGCGAGGAAGAGGGCATAGTAAACAAGCTTCTCCTCATACCATGAGTTGACGCCACACATCAAGTACTAGTCCATACAACCAAGCACTACTACTAGTAGTTCTTTGGATAGGGTAGTAGTACTGTACTAATTACTCCCTCTATCCATTTTATGAGGCCTATCTATTTTTTGACCGTTTCCGCTTCACGCCCGTGACGGAAGGAGTAGGCCTGGTGACGGGGTACATGGCTGCGGGAGTAGCGGCGATGGGGCGGCGCCGCATAAAAAACGCGACGAGGCGGCACCACATGAAAAACACCGGCCGCGGACTGTGGCAGCTCCATCCCGGCGATTGGTGGGGCAGCGAGAAGAGACGGCATGGGGCTGGAGCGATTGGCGGCGGCGGCAACGCGAAGGGGCGGCGCAGAAGGGAGAAAGTTTCTCTGCCGCCAAATCGCGAGTAGGATAGAGCTAGCGGCAAAGGGGGCTGTAGATTTGGCGGGTCCAGGGGAAATGTGTAGGTTATTGCAATAAAATTTACGGGTCGGACCGATATACCGGACATCGGAGGGTTTTTTGTGACACGGATACAACACATCTAAGAGCATCTCTAATAGAAGATGTAGATCTATAAATACCTAACTTTTACATATTTGAGGCCCAAAAACGCCTTTCCAATAGATGATGTAGATGTAAAAAAATTACATCTCCACCTTCCGAAGATGTAAACTACAACACCTCGCGGTGCAAATATACATCTCCACCCACTGGAGATGTAAAAACTTCAGTCGCGCGCCAACTGCCGTTCCATTTCCTTCCCCAACCCCTCTTCTTCCTCCCGCCGCCCCGCTGCACCACCGCCGCCCGCCCGCAAGCTCGCCGCACCCTGCTGTTGTCGCCCCGATGCCGGTTTCGACCGTCGGCCGCCGCTGCACGCCGCAGATCGGGCATTTTTCCGCCCCCGCTCGATTCCACCGTCGTTGCCCCGCCCGCATTACCGGCTGCATCCCCGCATCGCCGCTGCTTGATTGCACCGCCGCCGCCGCCTGCAACCCGCATCCGCCCGCAGCCTTACCATGCTCCGGCCGCCACGTCGAGCTCGCTCCCGTCGAGTTTCGGCCATTGCAACTCCTCTCATTTGCCGAAAGGACGCGGCTCACTCCCAACTATCTGTAGAGCCAAACACCGCTGCAAACCGTCGCCCCTAGAGCAAACCCGAGGCACTCCGCCGTGCTTGATGGTCGCTGGCGGCACAACTAGTTTACATCTTCATTTGTATCATTTGTTGGAGTTGCACTTTTACATCACCATTTTACATCTTCGGTTGGAGTTGCCTCTTTTTTAGAGATGTAAAAAAGCACTTTTAAAAGATGTAAATTTTTACATCTCCTGTTTTACATCTCCAAATTACATCTTCTATTGGATATGCCGATTCACTTACAGAATCTCTAGCAGACCCCGTATAATGCCGCGACCTGCAAAATAACCGTCAAAATACGGGTCGGCGTGGAAAATTCTGCTAGACCACACTCCGCAAATGCGTCCGACTCGTAATTTTTTTATGGGGCGCGGCAAAAGTTTGCCCTCACCCTTTAGATTCACGGGGGGGGGGGGGAGGCCGACCCGAGCTCGCCCCCTATCCGTAGCGAGATTTGGCGCGAGGGAAATTTCCACGCGGCCATTCCCGCTTCCCCCCTCCCCGGTCACCATTGCCCCGCCACCACGCGCTCCGGTCCATCTTCCCCGCCCTTTTTCGCCGCCATGAAAGCCTCCCAGCCGTCCAACCGTCACCGTAGAGGTCGCGCACGCGCAATACCCTCAAGCGGATCTCGTCGCCGACCATGTCGCTCCCGTCGTCGCCCAAGGCACCAACGCGCCTGCCCGCAAGTGGCAGGGCAACATTGTCGTGTAGGGCAGCAATCCAGCTGGCCCCGCCAGAAAGGCATGTGCACCAGGCACCACCACCGCTGCGCGAGGCCACCGGCGGAGAAGGTGAGCAAGGTTTCAGGCATGAAGCGGAAGAAGGTTCCTACGAAAGGTCGGCTCCTTCGTCCACTCCCTCCGCCCCGGCAAGATGTTCCCCGATGATGCCGTTCAACGGCGCTGCTTCCATCGCAGGCGAGGTGTTCGATGAAATGGCCGGAAGGTATCATCTTCGATCTCTTGTTCTTTCTTCACTTTTTGCCATTGTGGCTGTTCGTAACTTGATGTCACTCAATGTAGCGGTGGTTCGAACAATGCCACTGACGAGTTCATGAACTTGTTGGGCACCAACGCCGTCAACATCGATCAAGGCCCGTTCGCTGATTTCGATTACAATGAAATGGAGGGTGGCATGGATGATCATGGTGGTGAAGATGAAGTGGAGGAGATAGATGAGGGGGTGTATGAGCAAGCGCAAGAAAAAAAGTGTGAGATCGAAGAACTACACGATCTTGGAAGATCAAATCTTGATCAAGGCTTGGAGTGCGGTGTCTCTTGATGCTTGCACGGGTACGTCTCAAACCTCCAAGAGATATTGGCAAAGAATCGAAGATCAATAGTTTCGCATGATGGCCAAGCATACCAATAGGACACCACGGACCTTTCGGTCACTCCAAAGTCGTTGGGACGTGATCAAGCCGATTTGTAGCCGTTGGGCAGCTTGCTTGGAACAAGTTCGCAATGCACCTCCAAGTGGAACCGTGGAATCCGACTATGTGAGTTCATTTACACGTCCCAAGTTGTGCACATCATTTGCATCATATGGAGTGATTGCATCATTTGACTTTGTTTTAATTGTGTAGGACAAAAATGCCCAACAAAGATACAAAGACATGGAAGCTTTCAAAGGCAATTTTTTTAGACTAGAGCATTGTTGGGATATGCTCAAAGAATGCGAGAAGTGAAAGTTGATTGACAAAGATCCCCACCGAAGAGAGGTTCAGTTACGAACATGGATGAAGATGGTGATGGCCCAAGAAATTTGAACAAGCCCGATGGTGACAAGAGGACAAAGGAGAAGATCAAGAGGGAACACAAAGCATCGAGCTTGCGGGACAAGATAGATGCCATGGTGCAATCAAATGAGTTGATGTTAGTGAAGACATTGGAGACAAGGAAAGAGTTGACCGAGCAGAAGGCAGGAGAGAAGCAAGAGCAGTGACAATTGCTCAAGGACGAGGGTTGCGCAAGGTGTCAATTGAGGAGAGAAGAGAACGTGCCGCTGAGAACAAAGACATGTCCAAGCTTCTTGCCGAAGAGAATAGGATCATGACATTGAACCGCAATGACATGGACGACATCACCCAAGAATGGCATGATATGGCAAGGAGAGACATCTTGAAGAGGGGGATGCTTGCGTCGACCGGTGCTTGTTACAGTGTCGGCGATGTTTTCTCATCGGGATTTGGAAGCAATATCACCGATGCATTCAGTGCGCCAGCCGGTGGTTTCGGTGCCGGAGTTGAAACAAGTGCCGGCGATGGATTAGGGGGGGGGATGACCTCGATGGAGGTGGTGCGGAGCGAAGAGCGACCAAGATGATGATGGACGTGGTCGTGGCTTTTGCAAGTCCTTTTGCGTTTGTCCTACAAAACTATGCTCTTATTTGCGCGCGAACTATATTTTATTGTTTGAATTTGAACTCATTTGTCGGAATCACTATCAACTTCCCTTATTAGGGGTTTTCGGTTTGCGGGTTGACGCGACGGCGCCCGGCCCGTAAAAGAGCATTTTCAGTGAATATCTTTGTTTATGAGTCCATTTACGGAGTCCGACTCTCTCCTCACCTGCACCGGCCCACAAAACTGTTTGCGCTTATGTGAAACTAGTCGTCAGATGACTCAGGTCTGACACTCCTCTACTTCCCCCAAATCTTTTTTGTTTTTTCTACTTCCCCCCAAATCGACAATCGAAGGCAGCTAGCTCCCAAATCTCACGTGAGATAATTCTCGAGTCCATCTGGAAATACCCCCAGATCTGTTGGCGAGGTGAGGAGATGTCAGGGCTGTTTGGTTTGTGACTAACCTTGCCAAAGATTTCCACACCTAAGGTTAGGCAAATTTGACTAACTTAGATGAGTGTTTGGCTCAAGCCACACTTTAGGCAAGTCACACTTGAGCCCCACATGGCATACACACAAAAAGTGTGGCAAGATTTCCTTAGACTAGCCACAATGGGAGTAACTTCAGCAGTAACATCGAGTCCACCTCAGCAATTTTTCTTATGTGGCAATGAGTTAATGAGGAGAGAGGTAGTAGTAGTAACTTAGAGGGTGCTTAGATACGTTTTAGTTCCATGACTAAAAGTAGTGGGACTAAAACTTGCTAGCCTTACCCATGCTTGGATCCAAATACTAAAGAGACTAAAATCAAGTTATTGAACATTTATTATCCTCCAAACCCTTCAATCCAGAACTCGCATGTGTTAAAGGAGAGGCATTAAATAATGAGAGAGAGGGCTAATACATATTTTAGTAGGTTTCCTATGACTAAAAAATTTTAGCCTTAACTAGTCCTAGCCTCTCTTTAGTCAGGGGTGCTTGGAACTTTAGCCTCTAAAAAAGACTATTTTTAGTCAGACTAAAAATAGTCCCTTGGATCCAAGCATCCTCTTAGCTATTTACTGTAACATCACATGTCCCAATGCAATATGAGTCTATAACCTAATAAATGAAGTTATGCATGTTTACACACTTATGTTACTACCCACTATGAAGGTAGTAACATAGCCTAGGAATATGTATATGTTACTAGTGTATGTTACCTTTCATTGTGGCTAGTCTTAAGCTTGCCAACTAACCTTAGGTAAGGTTGGCAAAAATGTGTGACAATGTTAAGCTAGAACCAAACAGCCCCGTCATATCTACCGATGGCCGCCGAGAAATATCCGTCATCGGTGGAGGCTGTGGCCGGCGAGGAATGTTCACGCGCCGCCAAAGGGCTCGACTGCTCCGAGGGAGATAAGAAGGCGGCGGCGGCGGCCGGCAGCGAAGTAGAGGCGACTCCAGCGAAAAAGATGTGGCGGTTGCCGCTGGAGGAGATCGAGTGGATCCTCGCCCAGTCGAACGAACCTGTCTGTGCTGAGTTTCGGGCCCTCAAGCGCGCCAATCCGTCGCTGCTGCCATCGCCTGAGGAGAAGGACGAGTCAACGGTGCTGCTGTACGCATGTGCCCGCGACTGCTATGAGGATGAAGAGAAGTTCACGCGATTCCAGGCCTGGGTCCGCAGCGAGTACAACTCCAAAGGATTCGTGGAGGTCGACTACGACTACTTCGGTGAAAGGGCCGAGGCGACGAGGCTGAGCGAGGAAGCACGGGAGGAGGTGTTCAGAGACACGGATCTTTCTTCAGACAGCGAGGACGGCGACGAGTTGAAGCTTCTCAAGACGACAAGCTGGGTCTGAAACCCATAGTTCTATCTTTTTCAGGTTTCGAATAATCCTTGTGGCTTGCCATTGCATCGGAGGTACCTTCTCTTGTCTTATCTTGTAACCCTGCTAGTGCAGCAATTCATTGTACTGATGCCCGTGCGCGCCCATGTCGCAAGAAGCTAGTACGAGCAAGTATTGTCTGTTCAGTAAAAATTGATATACCGAATTGCAAGGAGTCAGCCTCTAGCAAGTTTGTCCCTGCTATCATTTGCTGTCATTAGCAACTTCATCAAATGCCTATTCTGTTGCTCAAGCCTCTTCATCTGATTGCAGTTGTAATCTCTAGCGTCTGTGTTGCATGAATTTTCCATGTATCTGATACCCTTCTATAGCAGCACTGTCCTCTGCTTCGTGATAATCTATTGAAACTATTCCAGATATATATCTGGGGACAACTTGACCTTTGAGGAGCAAATGTTCAGACGGATTTGTTCACGTTGAACATCCTTTGGTGATATTGAGCAAGTGGTAGTCCTACATAAGATCTAGTATAAGTGTGCATGGGACTTTTACTATTGTTGCTCCACCCCTGCAAAATTGATAGTATTAGCCAAGGACCAAGTACAGATGATGGGCCATAGAGCAAGTTTGGTAGATGAGTTCTACATATAAAGAGCACCTGGACCACCAATGCATATGTACACATGCAGCATATATGTTAGTTTTTCTTGCTCTTTTATTCGGTTACTAGCGATGTTCTATCTATCTAAAACAGCACAAGAATAGCATGGGTTCATCAAGTTTAAAATATGTAGTACTTGTATGAGCATAGAGTTCTTAAATCAGCTAGTATTGACGAACATGGGAACACAATAGTTCTATAGTTGTTAATTCAATTGTTTGCTATCGATACGTACTAAATCTGTTCTAGGCAATGAGAGAAAAATGGTACCTAGTACAGTGAGTTGGTTGCATAAAGAAACTACCAAGATTGCACATTTAGCAGCCCTTCCAGGCACACTTAATTGAAAGAACTTTGCCTCATCGTGAACACCGCATAAAAGATAAAACACATTAAAATATTTAGGCCTCAGCCGCGGTCAAGGCATCCACACCAAACGCAACAAAGTAGCACTGTAATAGGAATCGGCCACGAAGTGTTATGAGCTGACCTGGGTCACGGCCGGGCTCAGCAGTGTCGAGGAGGGTGCCAGCAGACTCAACAAGGATAACCTTGTCATGATGTCGTCTCAAGCAGTAGATCATCCTCACCAGACCTGATGAACTCGTCATACCGAGTTACATCCACCCGGATAACCCTATGATCACGGATTCATTGTTCCAGGTATGAGATATTCCATCACTGATGTACAGATCACAAATAGGCGAGTCATTACTATTTCCATCAAGTTTTTTACTATAGTAATTTTTGCAATCCCCAAAAGTTTTTCATTCAGAAATATTGTACGCATCATCTGGAAAAATCTACTCAGCTTTGCCAAGAAATTGTGTTGCAAATTACATAATTAGCAATGCCATTATTTGCTTAATCAAATTGCAATTGCAGCTCTATTATTACCAAAACAATTAGTTCTTAAAGGTCTTTCACATTACTGTAGTTGTGATTTGCTCTCAGGATTAATTAGCGTAGCCTGGTTATTCTACCATTCGCTTTATTTGGAATTTAGTGTGTACATTGGCTTTGTTTTTATAATTCTTCACTTGATCCTGTTATAAGCAGGTCCCCTTCAAGTCTACTGGCTGTACGATGGAGCGGTTGTGTCGGAGTAATGGGCCACGGGTAGGCCAACCCGAGCCCCATAACCTTTCAAGACATCGGGGCAGGCTGCGCCCCTCAAGACCCCAGGGCGAAGAGCCGACTGCCCGCTCACGGCCGAGTCCCAGGGACGACTTCCAGAGAAGCCGGCTTTGGGGAGTCGGCCGGCGACTCCAACAAACCGTGACCTCATCGAAGGGGACGGGGCAGGGGCGTGGCTACAGTGAAGCCCACTCCCCGCCCCTTACCAAGGGCAGGCATGGCTACAGCACACCGTACTTGGGAAGATCTCCCTGCGGCGTGGCACTGTTGCCAGGCCGGCCCTGACATCAGCACCACTGTATCAAGTCCTGCGCCCACGACGGCTTATCTGTACGGCCTGGAGGCAGCGGGGCCCACCAGTCAGCGAGACCTCGGGAGACGGCGGGAGAACCGCCAGTCGGACCCATCGGGAGTCGGCCCGGGGGAGTCGGCCGAGCCCTCCCCCGGGGCCCACCCGCCATTAATCAAGAAGAGATGGGGAGTGGCCACAGTGATCGCCCGCCAGGCGGCGGGGTTGTTGCCACGACCCCCTGACCAAGCTTGCGTCATCAGGAGGACGGCTACAGTAATCAGTAGCCGGCAAGACCCGCCCGCGGCGGACGCGGCCTGTCGGCTCCGTACCAGACCAATCGGCGGGCCCCAGCAGTCGACGGAGAAGTCGGAGGTCGGAGGCACTGACGGCTGGGCCCGCGCCCAGTCATATTACTATTGTATCCCTGGGGGGTAGGCCTATATAAACCTCACAGGGCACCCATGAAAAGGGTTGGATCCCAGTAGTTTTAGACCACACCAGATAGAAGGAGAGAGCTAGCCTTGCCCTCTCCTACCACCCTAAACAGCTCAAGGAGCAACCTTGTAAACACTTGGCCATAGTAATAATGCGGAGACCCCGCAGAGCAGGAGTAGGGGTGTTATCTCCCCGGAGAGCCCTGAAGCTGGGTAAGATTCGCCGGCGTGCATGCCTTCGCCTCATCCCGTTTCCAGGCACCGGCGACGTTCTACTCGCGCCCACCATGATAAGCCATCCGTTGGCATATGTCGCACCAAACCCCCGACATTTGGCGCCCACCGTGGGGCATGGTGCACCGCCGTCCGGAGATCTGTTCTGGACGGGAACCCTCTTCCTCCCTGGTGAGCGCAGCCAGCCAGGCACGCCAGATGAAGTCTGCATCGACGCGCTGCGCGGTGTTGAGATCGCCTGCGCAGCCAGCTCCTTGGCCGAACTTGTCGGCGAGGTCCGCCTCTCCGACGAACCCGCGTCCGACGCAGGCGCGGGCGGCCCCGAGAACCTCCTCGCGGGCCTTCTCGATCAAGTCCACGTTTCCGGCGAGCCTGCCGTAGACTTGGAGTCCGTAGGCTCCACCGACCCGATGCTGGTCGATTCCGACACCGTGTCGATCGACGCGTTCCCCACCAACGTGGTGGTCTATGACGAGCCTCTCCCTCATGCAGAGAGCGACGGAAGCACCGTCACTGAGGTGCTAGTCATCAGTCATGACGAGTTCCCTGGCGGAGGAGCGCCCGACACGCTCGGCGCGGCGCTGCAAGACCTAACTGCGCCCATCCTGGAAGATGCTGACGCAGAGACGTTAGAAGCGCGTCGCCTTCAGCTTGTTGAAGGCGCGAAGAAGCTGGCCAGCATGAGACGCTTGTCAGAAGCTTACCAGCGGGAGATGGATCGTGCTGTTGGCGGCTCGCCGGCCCCGGCAGGGCCCAGCCGCCTTGGCGCGGTCCAGCAGCGCGGTGTAGCCATCGCCAGCCTGTTTGGGGCTAGCCGCCCCGTGTACGCCACCCCAGCGGAGAACATCCGAGCCGCCCAGGTAGCGGCGGACGAGCTGGACAATTTAGAGGGCGAGGAGCGCCGCCTCATGATGGAGCGAGTCTAGCGGCTCCTCGACGCGGCCGCCGCGCAGAACGAGGCCGGCTGCCGCACGGAGGCGCCACAGCGGCCAAATGAAGACCCGCACCGAGATCAAGGCGCGACATCTCGGACGCCGACTGGTGGTGCCCGAGGAAGGAAGGACAAGGAGCCGGCTGTCAGCCACAGTCGGACTCGGATTACCATAGAGAGCGACCGAGACGGCCGCCCAAGAGCAGTGGAACGACGGGACGACTGTCCGCCTCCCCCTCCCCGCAAGGAGAGGCGAGTCTCCCCGCCGCCTGTTGATCATCCCACTCTCGGTGACCGCCTTGGCCACCGAGAGGGAGTTGGAGAGAATGACGCCCGCCACCGGATCGACCGACTTCACCGGTCCCTGGCGCTGGAAGAAGAAGACGAGCTGGGTCCGCCTTGTTTCGGGCCCCGCATTCGGGACGAGCCCTTTCCCAGAGGGTTCACGCTCCCGAGAGACACGCCCAAGTATACCGGCTCTGTGAAGCCGGAAGACTGGCTAGTCGATTACTCCACGGCTGTCAGCATAGCAAATGGCAACAAGCGCGTCGCCATAAAGTACGTTCCGCTCCTGCTCCAGGGCACGGCCCGGACATGGCTGAACAGCCTAAAGCCCTGCAGCATCAACAGCTGGGTCGACTTCACCGAAGCGTTCGTCTGCAACTTCACCAGCACATACAAGCGTCCTCCCAAGCCTCGTCAGCTCTCCTTATGCGTGCAAGGCCCTGATGAGTCGACTCGCGACTACCTCACGCGTTGGGCCGAGCTCCGGAACTCCTGCGAGGGCGTGCATGAGGAGCAGGCCATTGAGTACTTCACGGCCGGGTGCCGAGAAGGCACCCTCCTCAAGCACAAGCTCCTCTGCGACGAGGCAGAAACCCTCGACGAGCTGCTAATCATAGCGGACAAGTACGCCATGGCCGACTCCTCCATGAAGGCGGAAATCCAAATCAGCAGCGACTGGCAAAGTGGCTCCTCAAGCTCCAAGAACCCCGGCGGCAGACACCGGCCGGCGACAACAGCAGGGCGACAACAAGCGCAAGGCCCCGCAGCCGGCTTCCGGTAGCCGACAGGTCGCGACCGTTGAAGCCCAGCAGCCAGAAGAGCAGCCTCCGCCCAAGCGACCGAAAGGCGGCAAGCCAAACTGGTTGCCGGCCTTCTCCTACGAGCAAACCTTGGATGGGCCTTGCAAGTTCCACAGCGGCGCGAAGCCGTCGAATCACACCACCTGGAAGTGCCACTGGCTCACCAGGATCGCCAAGGGAGACGGCCTCCTGCCACCCCCGCCTGCTGGGCAGCCGCCTCCGCCTCCGCCCCAACAGC